CAAACAAACAAACCCAAAACCCAACTATTAAAAAGCCATGTAAAACAGGATAGTTAAAAATTTAAGACATTATCTGTATATTTTCCTCTGTTGCTTTAATTTTCAGCCATGTCTTTCTCCTAACTAGCTGAATGTTCAGGTTTCTTTCTTGTCTTGGTAGCACAACACACGTTGGACAGGTTGTACTTTATTCATAACCCTTCACCACTGGCAGGTTTCCTTCCATCCAATTTTTATTATATTGATTTTTCCCTTTTTCCCTGGCTCTGCTACCACCATGATGCCAAATGTTCATCCACTGGCTTGAGAGTAATTTCTCCAGATCTTGGCAACAAAGCCACTTCTGGCTTCTGCTTACTGGTAGCCACTGAAGCTGTGTGCCAGCTTTTAGGATGCATGGTCCTTCCCCTGCTGAGACCTTCAGCCTAGCACAGGACAGTCAGAGCCAGGTAACTTACAGAAACACCAGATTCGATCAAGTGTTCAGTTCTGTTGTTCCAAAGTTGTAGCGAGGTGATGTATTCCAAAAACAAAAAGGAAAGAATGAATCTCTCTTTTGCAATCTCCTGATCAGTTTCAGCTGTTGCTCAAGGCAAAGGTTTTTTCAAGGGCTTATTCAGGATATTTCATTTATTGATATTAAACAATGTAGCTTTTTTTGCCTTAGGCTGTGGAGCTGTAATTTCAAGTCAAAGCAGCTGTATAGTTTGAACAGTTTTATAGCTGTGTTCCTTTTACAGTTGATGGCGAGTGGAGTTCTTGGCTGCCATGGGGTCCCTGCAGCGAGACTTGTGGGAAAGGTACTCAGACACGACTGAGGCTCTGCAATAACCCTCCTCCTTCACACGATGGATCATACTGTCAGGGATCTGATGCACAGATGCAGGTTTGCAACAAGAGACGCTGCCCAGGTAAGATGTGTCAGACACGGAGAGAACAACGGCAAGCTTGTCATCTCCTTTCCAAATTCTATATTTATATTGAATGTTTTCCAGTTCTAAAAATATAGTCCCTGAGAAAATTCCATTTGAGCCTTTTATTTTCACTGGCCCCTGCCACTATCTTTAGCATCCCTCTATAGACCTCTAACATATGGTATTTCTTCTCTTAACCTTGTCTCTCTTCCTTTACCCTGCCACTGTGCAAAAGCAGCATTTTGAATCCTTGGCAATTAAATTACAGGTTTCCTAAACTTTTTTTTTTTAATTTTCCTAGGTTCTGTTATTCATTTATCCTTTTCTTCCACATTTCAATGTGGACTGGATAGGAAAACTCAGATTTTTGAAATATTACCTCTCTGTTTGGCTGAGTGCAGGGATAACGAAGGGAAATTTAATGAAGAGGAACGTGCGGCGGTTCAGACTAGATCCTTCTGGCTTCACTCTCAATTTTGCACATGCCAGATCCTACACCGAGTGCCTACTGTAACTATCAACTGGTAGAAGAGGGAACTGACCTTGTGGTAGTTGAGCAACCGAGGGCTCGATGTTGCACATTTATCCGGCTCGATGTGCTGCTGCTGAGGACACTGTTGCTTACAGCTAGTTTGTGCCTAATTGGCCTCTTCTCAGCCACCAACTCGAGCGCTCACACGGGTGTACCTGTAACAGTTTGTGTCGCCACCTCTTGGGAGACCAAAGACTACTCAACTGCTTAGACCTGGCTCATGTGAGATAATTTAGTAATAACTCCTATAAACAGCTGAGCCAGTAAATCAAAGGTTGGTTAGGAAGGTGGGGGGAGTAGGTGGTGATGATTATGTCTTCAGACCAGGGCAGCTGCAACCTGAGGAGGATGCATAAATGAAGACTGAGTTTTTGGGATGGCACTCGTATTGGCCATCCAGTGTGGTAATTTCATGGACAACTTTGTATATGGTTTGACTTGCTTACAGATACCTAAAAATGTGAGGGTGACTGAGCTTGAGGCCTGAGCGATCCCTAAGCATGATTCTGGTCTGGCTTACAGGTTGTTTAAAAGACAGGTCATGCCTTTCTCCAGTTTCCATTCCTGGAAATCCTATGTAGAAATCCTTGTGTAACTGAGGTGTTCTAGAAAGAGAGTCAGTAACTGCAGTCAGTTTTACTCTGATGCAGCACTGATTTACTTCACTACTTTTACAGTGGACGGGAAGTGGGCCGCATGGAGCAGCTGGAGTGCCTGCACAGTGTCCTGTGGAGGAGGCAGCAGGCAGAGAACGCGCTACTGCTCGGACCCAGTCCCGCAGTTTGGGGGTCACAAATGTGAAGGAAATGACATACAGATTGATTTTTGCAACAGTGATCCTTGTCCAAGTAAGTGCTTTGGGTTAGGCTGCTTGTCCACGTACTGGGTTCATATGTATGCGCAAGAGAGGAAGGAGGCCCTCCACAAATCACGCGCTCCCACAAAAATTAGGGGATCTGAACACAGGCAAGCAGTATTAGCTCCCTGGCAAGAGTGAAAGCATCTCTTCATCAGTCAGCGTGAGTGAGACATTTTAAACATTAACTATTAGGAGCACAGACCACTAGGAGCTGGTCCACAAGGTCCTGCCAGACTGTCAGAGGTCACGCACCTCTCTAACGTTACAACTGTCCCATCAGAAAGTACTGCAACGTGAATCTCTCTGTATCTCACAGCAGCAGGTAGTGACTCATCTGGTTAATGATAGGTGCTGCATACTTTCCTACGAATTACAACGTTCTGGAGTGGTTTAATACACTCTGAGAAATCGTTGAGTGCTCAACAAGATAACTTTCTTAGATCTTTGTCTTTTTTTATTATTTTGGGAAAAGAAATTTAAAAGTTACTCTCCAATAGGAATATTTTCTTAGCTTGACCGTCTGGTTTTAAGTATCTGTTATTAAGAGGAAGACAGATAAAATCGTGACTTATTTTTACAGTTCATGGCAACTGGGGCCCATGGAGTAGTTGGGGAACCTGTAGTCGAACGTGCAACGGAGGCCAGATGAGGCGATACCGGACCTGTGACAATCCTCGCCCTGCCAGTGGTGGGAGGGCGTGTGCAGGGGCTGACATGCAGATCCAGAGATGCAGCACTGAACTGTGCCCTGGTGAGTGCTCAGACTAACAGAGAAATTAAATGCAGCTTTCCCTGGGAGACTTCAGGGTAGGCATGAGATTTTCATATAATGAAAGGAGTGTAGAACATTCCTGTAATTACTTACAATTTCATACCATCTAATAATCTGCTCTCACTTTTTTCTTTAAATGACTGTCACCTTACAAGGATTCCCCCCTTCACATGTTAGATTTTCCCAAAATGAGATGGAATAATTCAAAATGGGAAATAGCATATGAGCATCTCTCCTACACCTAGCAATTCTACTTAGTTTTTACAGTAAATACAGTTTATGAGGCTCCCAGTGAACTTTCATAATGTATTCCAGGAGCAGGGAGGAATGCTCTGCTCAAATGCTTTAAGTAAAATGACAATCAAAGCAGTTAATTTGGTTGTTGCCAGTACATAGCTAAGGGGCAAATGGTGAACTGACACATTCAGAATATCAGCAATACAGCAGATAAACCCCAATGCTAGGGACTTACTAAACACCTACAAATTCCTAAACACCCTTCTATAACTTATCCCAGAAAGGGATGATGATGATGATGATTATTATTATATTATTAATTCTGATATAATAATTAAAAATTATTAAATCTCTCCTCTGCCCACACCATTTTACCCACCCTTTCCCTGTGGGAGATGTAGGAGCTCCAACTTTATGCATCCCTGTGCCATGTTCAGCACCCTGCTGACCCACATACTGATGACAAAGCTCCCGATGAGGCCACATCCACACACCCGAGGTGTCGCCCTCTGCTTGTTGCACCACACAGCATCAGCCCCCACTTGCTGCTTGTGGTGTGCAAGGACGATTCTCCATTAAGTCTTGATGGAGGTTGCGCTGTCAAGCCCGGTCTGATTGTTCCTTGTTTACCCTCCTCTTGCTTGGGTTTATCCTCCCCAGTCACAAATTTTCTTGCTTCTTTTGTACTTTTCAGTTCCCTCATTACTATTATTTTGGCTAAGCAAACTTTTTTCATTGTGACTTTCCTCTTATTATTGCTGGTTTTGGGCAAATGTCTTATCAGATCATGCATTTCCAGAATCTGTGTTCACACAATGTACAGTCGTATTGCTATTGTATCATCTGTTGTTATCGAGGCCGCGATACCAAGAGGAGGCCGTGCAGATTCCTGCACATGTGTACTTCAAGCCAACTCTTAATTGAACTCTTGTGAGTGTTTGGATAGATAGAAAACATGTTCTTTATTTGCAAGATTTATGGTTTGTTTTCCATCAACTTTGTACCCATGCAATCTCAGGTATTTTCTTTGTAGGAGTAAAAGTGCTCAAAGCCCTAGGCAGCTAGGTTGTCTCTCTAGTGATAGCTACCAAAAACTATGCCAGGGGAGTCTGAATACTGACAGCTGTTCTTTACAAACTGGTTTGTGATGGGTCTGCATATATCCGACTGCTTTTCAGTTTTGAACTCCGCTTCTGTGTACCCTGATACTGCCAGGGGACACATGCGGAGACTGGCAGGAGGTACCTCTGCAGAACCTCCTGGGGAGAGTGGCTGGCAGAAGTCAAGCAGCAGTGGGTTGTGGATCTCTCCTCCCCACAGAGCGATGCATGGGCAGCCACCCAAAGCCACTCTGAGCTCGCTACCTGCACAGTAGATCTCTGTATGCCGCCCCTGGGGAGGACTTGCATGATTATTGTGCAGAGGAACACACATACTTTACACTGTACAAAGCTTCCCTGGTCCACTGTGAAGTGGTACCTTTTCAACATGACATAGGGAAGAATTTGACCCAGCTCTTGCTAAATCGCCAACCACCATACTGGAAACATCCCCTGGAGGAGGCTCCTCATCTCCAGTACAGCTGATACACAAACAAAATGTTAAAGGTGGTGTGTTTCTGGGGGGAGAAGCGTTCACACCTGCCCATGAAGGTGGTTTGGTCATCCTTTTAGCTGAAATCTTTTCTCTATCACATTGGTTCCATCAAGAAGGAACATTACAGAAGCATCACTGATGCAGTCCGACACATTTAAAATGAAAAGTCGCTTTCTTCATTCTTTCTTTCTTCAGTGGATGGAAACTGGGGTCAGTGGCAAACATGGAGCCAATGCTCTGCTTCTTGTGGAGGAGGAGAGCAGACCCGAATACGCCTGTGCAGCAATCCAGCCCCGTTAAATCGTGGACGTCCTTGTCCTGGGGACTCCTCCCAGATATCCAGGTGTAATACCCAAGCATGTCCTGGTGAGTTAACTTACAACCCACACACAGTGACAATAAGGCAAAAGCCTGTGGCGCTCCTAATTTTCACTGGTACTCTCTCGTGTCATGGCCAGTTAATCAAGTAATTTAATTTTTTTTGCTTAAAATCCTGCCTGCAGCTTCAGCTGGATAATTTTTCTGTTAACCTGTTACATAGCACTAGAGTACGCTGTTAAACAGTTGTTGCTTTTCAGACAGTCTGTAAGGTGATTCCCATGTTATTGTGCATGTATCTCAGACCACATATACAGCATCCTGTTATTTGCAGGTTGTGAGCTTTACTCTTGCAAATAATATAGCAATATATGCAGAAATACCCTTACTTCTTAAAATGCTGGACAATATTTCTGAATTTTCTGTCCCCCAAAATATCAAATGGCAGAGTTTTCACCTGGGCCTTTTTCTCCCCCCCCGCCCCCCTTCCTCCTCTCTCTCCCCTGCACAGGTGGGCCTTCACGCTCCAAAGGCAGCATCATTGGAAACATTAATGATATTGAATTTGGAATTGCTTTCCTGAATGCCACAGTAACAGACAGCCCTGACTCTGAAACTAGAGTAATACAAGCAAAGATTACAAATGTCCCTCGGAGCCTTGGTAGGTTTTTTTATTACTTTTTATCACCTTTTCCTTGAGCCAGCTGAATTCTGTGCAATGTCAGTTTTCACCACTTCATTTCATTAAGTGTCACTAAAGAAACTAATCTAAACTTTTCATAGACAGTGAGGAGGAAGGGAATTGTCAATATTAACTTACATTAATATTTTTTAAAATGATTCCTCTGAACATACCAATGCGTATTTTTTTCTAGTTTAAACATTAAGGCTTAGACTGCTTTTAGGTCTACACGTTCAACTCCTGCTGATGTGGGTTGCATGATGTTAGGAAAAAAACCTCTCAAATGTTCCGTCGCACTTCTTTCAGGTCTAGCAATGAGGAAGCTTGTTTCTGTACTCAGCCCAGTTTATTGGACAACTGCAAAAGAAATTGGAGAAGCAATGAATGGGTTTACGCTCACTGATGCAGTCTTCAAGAGAGAAACTCAAGTGGAATTTGCAACGGGTTAGTTACCTGTGATACACCACCTCCTGCTGTTGCCAGCAAGCTCGATAGATACTGCACTTCTTAAAAATTAGCACATGGCTGTTGCTGAATGTTGGGTCTTATGCTTGCACCACGATCTTCTGAATGACTATGGCTTTCTGAGGCTTAAATACAGCTTGTAGAGTTGTAATTTGAAACATGTCGTGTTTTTTATTTAGGCATGGTACACCTTATAAAAATACCAATAATATAATACTATAATAACTGGTCAAGGGATCCCAATTCAGATACTGTATGGCTAACATGAGTCTCTGGTCAGGATGTTTTATAAATCTATGTGTTCTTAAAATTCATAGGTGAGATTCTGCGAATGACTCACATTGCCCGGGGCTTGGATTCAGATGGAGCCTTGCTGCTGGATGTTGTCGTGAGTGGCCATGTGCTGCAGCTCCAGTCAGTCGCTGATGTTAACGTGAAGGTAAAGCTGCTTGCGATGCCACCTCCTTCTCTCTTCCTCACTCATCTATACTGAAGCAGCAGACAATAAGTCCTGAAAACTGTTTTATTGTATGTAACTTATTTTGTGCCTGATTTAATTGACAGATGTCAACGTTGCCTTTGAAAACAAAAAGTTGTTAGGAAGGTAGTATTGGTCACTCCAGATTTTTAGATGTTAGAAGGTAGTATTGAGCAGTGTCTTCAGGGCTAGTTGTCACAGGCAGGCACATCAGGTGTTGCTTTCTGTAGAGCTGTAAGGGCGAATCTGAAACCTGTCTGACTTTTTGGCTTCCCTGAGGATGACACCAGCTCTTTTATACCATGGCACCTTGCAAAAAAATTCTGATTATTACTGATGATTTGTTTGTAGCTACAATTATATGTAGTCTGGCAGAGAAACATTCCTGTTTCAGAGTTGCAAAGGCAGGGGACTAACAGATTCTGAATCAGATCAGAATCACAGGGTATTTTGTGTTCATATCACACGCCCTGTCTCGATACTGTTAATGATGTGCTCCTTTCTCTGCTATAGCATCAAAACTTTGTCTAGTGGAGAAACCTATTATGGCAAACTGTCCCATTGTGCAATTCATCTGAAATATTTTACAGAATTTGCTTTTTCAGAGAGTGATGCTTCTCTATGAAATTTTTCAGGAATGATCAGAGCGGGCAGTTTGTATGATCGGATGGCAAAAGGTTATAATCTTGCTACTGAACTGCTCTGTCTAGAGATATTCTCTACTGCTCCTAGTAAGAGAGCTTCTGTCACTGACCTTGTACTCCTGCTAGAAAGATGGAGTTCAAAGGAATGGCTTTTCTATATTTTTGAGTTAGTGTAAGAAGAACGAAGAACATTTTGCTTAACATAATATGTGGTATTAAAGTTTTGTTTTAAAACCAGGTGCTTCAGAATTGGTTTTATTGTAAAGGAAAGAGCATTCTTTAAAGTTGTTTCTATAAAGTTGGTAATTAGTTTGTTATAGGTAACCCATGAAAATGTTTTAATATATTAATCCCACAGTAAATATACATGAAGTTCTTGATATTTTGATGCACTGCAATATGTAGCATGTCTAATATTTATACCTTTTTTTAGTGGCAGAATCTTTCTCTACTGTTTGTTTATTTAGCACACGTTGTCAGCATCTGACTTGGAATATAAAAAAAAAAAAAACCTCAAAAGATTGTTATTGAACAATAAGATAACTTTCATGGTTTTTGGAAATGCTCTGCTGTGGCCTCCATCATCAGGATTCAGTTCCATGGCCTGTCCCTTATTTAAAGAAATATACCAGATGCTGTTAGGATTCAACAGTTACAAGAGTAAAAGAAGCACGGGTTATGTGAAATACAATTTGTTCAGCTGTTAAGAAAAAAAACCTTTCTCAGAACACATCTCATACCACTTTAAAATATGAAGACCACAGTGGTGTTGGCTGTACTCTGTGGATGATGCCTAAATCTTGCTGTTCCAGGATTACACAGAAGACTATATTCAAACTGGCCCTGGGCAACTCTATGCCCATTCTACTCGTCTCTTCACTGTTGATGGAGTTAGTGTTCCCTATACGTGGAACCACACCATCACCTATGATTACACTAAAGGAAAGATGCCTTTCTTGGTGGAAACACTCCATGCTTCCTCTATTACAACAGAGTACAACCCCCTGGAAGAAACTGTGGCTTTTAAAATCCACGCTTCCATTGCAAAAGGTATTGTTCTTATCTTTCACAAAAATAGAACGATGGAAAAATAATATCCTGTCTTCCTAGAATTCATTACCTATATTCTCAAAAGCCGGTTATGGCTGTGAAAGAGGAAATGCTGTGAAACTTGGGTAACTTTATTGTAGATCCTGGGACCTACATGTCTTGCTAATATACCCGTAGACTAATACGCAAAAAATGACTTGGAATATAAAAAAAAAAAAAAAACCTCAAAAGATTGTTATTGAACAATAAGATAACTTTCATGGTTTTTGGAAATGCTCTGCTGTGGCCTCCATCATCAGGATTCAGTTCCATGGCCTGTCCCTTATTTAAAGAAATATACCAGATGCTGTTAGGATTCAACAGTTACAAGAGTAAAAGAAGCACGGGTTATGTGAAATACAATTTGTTCAGCTGTTAAGAAAAAAAACCTTTCTCAGAACACATCTCATACCACTTTAAAATATGAAGACCACAGTGGTGTTGGCTGTACTCTGTGGATGATGCCTAAATCTTGCTGTTCCAGGATTACACAGAAGACTATATTCAAACTGGCCCTGGGCAACTCTATGCCCATTCTACTCGTCTCTTCACTGTTGATGGAGTTAGTGTTCCCTATACGTGGAACCACACCATCACCTATGATTACACTAAAGGAAAGATGCCTTTCTTGGTGGAAACACTCCATGCTTCCTCTATTACAACAGAGTACAACCCCCTGGAAGAAACTGTGGCTTTTAAAATCCACGCTTCCATTGCAAAAGGTATTGTTCTTATCTTTCACAAAAATAGAACGATGGAAAAATAATATCCTGTCTTCCTAGAATTCATTACCTATATTCTCAAAAGCCGGTTATGGCTGTGAAAGAGGAAATGCTGTGAAACTTGGGTAACTTTATTGTAGATCCTGGGACCTACATGTCTTGCTAATATACCCGTAGACTAATACGCAAAAACCCTAATATGTTGCAGTTTGCACTTACTCTTCTCCTGTAGTTCTCATCAGTGATGTATGGAGGCATTTGTTGACACTGCCAATAGCATCACCAGTAGCTTTGGACAGTCCACCTAAAATATTTCCTTGCATGTACCTTTCATTGTCTAAAAGGAAATTACTGTTGCTTTTGTGTGGTGTCAAGTGTCAGTGGGTTTTTATGTTTGGGTTTGGGTTTGCATAGCTATTAAGAAAAAAGATTGTGTATTTCTTCTCACAGCGAAAAAACACATAAATGTAAGTAAAGTAGTAATGAGGTGGAAGAACACACAAAATTCAGCACTAAAATGGGTAAAATTTCCTAAGTCATTCCTTAGATTGAACTCTGGAATTATTTGGCATACACAGAAAATACCATGCTGAGCTGCAGCTTGAAAACTTTACTGGTACTTTATGGATATGTTTTTTAAGGCCAGATATGAATGGTGCGCAGTTATGCAGCACTGTGTAGACAGGTGCTTATGTCCAGTCTGTGAACCTGGTGAGTTCTAACACAAAGGTGGCAAGCTGGTAGCTCCATCGCCGGTTGTACTGTGTCTTAGCATTACAAACTGCCAGCTTTTGTTAACCTTTTGCCTAAGGGATCTTAAGGAATAAGGCGTATATTTGTGTAAGTGGGTTTTCCTTTGAGAAGTCACAATTGGTTAGCAGAATGTCCTGTTAGCTTTTTGAATACTATTTGGGCTTTTTTTATATAGTAAGGCTCAACATCATCTTTCAGATGAAGTAACTCAGGTTTGAAAATAAATGAAACAGTGGGATTGACTATCTCAGTCTTTCTTTTCAATAACAATGTTTTAAATGAAGTAAAATAATGATTTTCCCAGTTGCCAGACTATGAACTCACTGTGCAATTTGAAAACCAAATAAGATTTTTTTTTCTCCATTTTAAAAAGAGGTGTGATAAAAGGAAGTCTCCCGATCAAGTTATGCCTATGCATAAATCTGGCCAAACCTTTACTGAGCTTACATTTATTTCCTCCAATAATTAATGTACTGCTTTTTTAAAAATTTCATGTTTATTGTATCAGTTTTCAAGCAGCAAAATACATATGGTCTTTGAGCAATCTCTACCAGAATTTTCCATTACAGTTCATAGTATGCACTTGTATTCTTCTATAGTGACTTCCCACAATCTGTGACATGGTGACTTTTTTCATTTGGGTTTATTTCCCTCCTTTTACGTGAAGTGAAACTGAATGGTCTTTATTCTTCTCATAATGAAAACTTCATGGAGGAACTTTGCAGCATGTATTAGGCTGGGATGCAACTTGCAGTCACTCTGAGGGAAACCCCTCACCTGTTTAATGTTTTTCAAAACAGCAAAAATCATGTACTACTGACTTCTAGTGCCCAAGTAGAAAAAAAAAAAAACACTAAAGTCTGGATTTTTAAAAGTTTCTGTTCTGGCGTCCAAATATAATAAATCTTTTCTAAATAGCTGTACTGCAACTCTTAAAGGGTTTTTTAAAAGTAATAAAATGGCCATCTCTTCATCCACAAGTAACATGTGCTTCCTTTACGGTACAGGAGATCGTAGCAATCAATGCCCTGCTGGGTTTGGTTTGGATTCAACTGGGCCTTACTGTTCAGGTAATGATGTGACATGGGTAGTATATAATCATAGACTCATAGAGTGGTTTGGTTTGGAAGAGACCTTTAAAGACCATCCAGTCCCCTCCCCTGCCATGGGCAGGGACACCTTCCACTAGATCATGTTGCTCAAAGCCTCGTCCAACCTGACCTTGAACACTTGCAGAGATGGGGTATCCACAACTTCTCTGGGCACCCGGTTCCAGTGTCTCGACCACCTTCATCATAAAAAAAAAAAAAAAAAAAAAAAATTTCTTTATTTCCAATTTAAATCTACTCTCTTTTAGTTTAAAACCATTACCCCTTGTCCTGGCCTTTTACCAGGGCCCCTGCAGGCCTGATAAAAAGTCTCTCCCGCTTACTCATAAGCCCCCTTTATATACTGCAAAGCTGCAATAAGGTCTCTCTGGAGCCTTCTCTTCCCCAAGCTAAACAACCCCAACTCTCAGCCTTTCTTTGTAGCAGAGGTGTACCAGCCCTCTGACTACTTCCATGGGCTTCTCTGGACCTACTCTAAGAGGCCCTTTTCCATCTTGTGCTGGGGGCCCAGGGTTGGATGCGGTACTCAACCATCGGAATCTGCATCACCTTTATCTAGAGTGTCAAAGCATGCAGTACGTACTTCAAAAAGTGTAAGTTACCGTTGGTAAAAGGGCATGGATCCAAAGGCAGATGAAGACTTCACTGTACTTATCTAGAATATAAGTAGTAGCCAGACAGCTGTTCGACAGTACCTCAGATACAACTGGGTGACACTGAGCCACGGTATCTGCTGATCCTGCAATGCAATGAAGCACTTACGTGGTCTGTGTGGAGGGAAGGACAAGTGTTGGCAACCTAGGCAACAGCCCACAAGTTCCTGCTTGGGGAATGGAGGTGCAGAGAAGGTTATGAGCATTTTTAGCTGTCTTCTGTGGATGACTGAGTCACATTTGTTTTAGGGAACAATCATCTGATATACTTCTGTGGACTTACTTCATTGCCCCTTGAAAGCTTATAAATTAAGGAAATTACACAAGAAACAAACACTACACTATCCAAAAGGAAAACTGAAAATAAGGTCACTAAAACAATCTTCTACTTGCAGTATCATCTGTAAAACAATATGAGTTCTAAAACTTAAATATGGAACATGTAGTAATCTTTGCAGTGTATCTCGGAAATCTTAAGTCTAACACTGAAGCCCATCTGCTCTGTTGTAAAGAGATTCTCTGGAAAAGACTATATCAAGCATTCATTACCGTGGCAGTGACCCAGTTCTGCAGAGTGTATGCAAGATTCAGCAAGCCGTGTTGGTGTAAGCTTGGTAACCGTAAAAACAAGAGTGGAGAATGCACCACTGAACCGTTTCTGTGAAGCTGCTCCATTCCTAGATCTAGTTTTGCCCTGTGGGTTCTACCAGACATACACCTCTCATGAAGGGTTGGTTTGGTATAGTTCCTTGTAAAGTCTTGTGAAGTCTCACTGGTTTTTCAAATGTTTCCTTGTTCCAGACGAAGATGAATGTGCTGTGGGAAATCCCTGTTCCCATACCTGTCATAACGCCATGGGATCTTACTACTGCTCCTGTCCAAAAGGCCTCACTATCTCTGCAGATGGCAGAACATGTCAGGGTAGGATAAGTACTGCCGCGGACAGGCTGGATACAAAAAGCCCCATCGGGCACTTAAATCATTAGGGTAATGTTCTCTTCAGGCTGGGGCATTTTCTCATTGTAGGAATATAATTTATTGGTGGTATTCTAATTATTTCGTACATGAATATATTTGCAATCGAGTATTTCACAGTTGATTGTGCTCAAGACCCTGTTTAATCTGTGTTTCATTTTGACATAGTGAGGTTTACAGCTTGTTTTTAATTATAGATATTGATGAGTGTGCGTTAGGTGGACATACCTGCCATGCTGGCCAGGACTGTGAGAACATCATTGGCTCATACCGCTGTGTGGTTAGATGTGGGAATGGCTTTAGGAGGACAGCTGATGGATTTAGTTGCCAAGGTATGGAGAGAGGTTTTTGGGTTTTGGTGCTAGCTTTCATAAACTGAAAATGCTGTCTTTTACACAATTGAAAGTAACTATAAGTTTTCATTATTAAGGTTGTGGGTTTGGTTTTTTTTTTGTGGTGGGGGTTTGTTTTGGGTTTTTATTTTGAAACCTTTTGCTTTTTCCATCTTTAGAAATAAACTCAAAATCCTACCATGGAATAACCTAACATTCTTGCTTTTGTGCCATTTGTGCATTTCTTTTACAAAGAAGTGAGAGAAGTAAACGCTTCTGAACATGCCTCAATAGTGTAATAACTAGAGCTCAAAGCAGAGTCCAGAATGTTGACTCAACCAACACGCTGTTCAGGTAAATGATGACAAGGCGATTCACAGCTGTGGTATCAAGGATTTGTATTGTTCAACAGATGTTAATGAGTGTCAAGAGTCCAACTCCTGTCATCAGCGTTGCTTCAATACTATAGGAAGTTTCCACTGTGGTTGTGATCCAGGATACCAGCTAAAGGGCAGAAAATGCATGGGTATGAATGAAATTTTGAATGTTAATTCCCTCTTTCCAGTGGACATAGTTCAACATTTATTTGTTGCTCTATTTGTTATTGGGAACCTTTATGAATGAAAATCCTACTATGGATGATATACTTAGTATGTATTTCTGAATTTGTTTGTAAAGCAGTACCAAAAGCCAGAGGACATGGGATGTGGGCTGACTGGTAAATGTGCATGAAATGCATTCAAATGCATGTACACAGTATAATTACAGCTAGATTATCCTGCTCTTTAGAAACTGAGCATAAGGAAGGGAGTTCATATCCATTCTTTTTTTTTTTTTTTTTTTTTTTTTTAAAAGATGTAAATGAGTGCAGGCAGAATGTATGCAGGCCTGATCAACTTTGCAAAAACACCCGTGGTGGCTATAAGTGCATTGATCTGTGTCCCAATGGAATGACCAAAGCAGAAAATGGAACTTGTATTGGTGAGTGGAAGTGATAATGTACGGTATGATGATGGTAAACACAGGGACAACAATGAATTTATTTTTTTTTAAATAATCTTGAAGGTGGTCCATCTCCAGTTATTAAGATTTGCACATACTAAGGTGCCAACTTCTTCCATTTATGGTAGCATATGTATTTAACTTTTTTGTGTTTGATATTAAAAGAATAGATGCATCCTTGCCAATTCTAGTTTTCTGTCGCTCTCAAGAAAGAAGAGTAAGGTTTTCCTCAGCATCTTTTCTGCGTTGTCACCTTGAATTCTACAGGTTGTTCATTGACTGAAATGTTTCGCCCCATGTGTGAATGCTTTCTTAAGAGTGTCTTAGGAGCTCTGAATCAAGATCACAGGTCCTTGCTGCTTAGCAGGGATGCTTTTAAACATAATCAATATTATATATAGTACCAAACCTTTTTTCTAGTGGGATATAACAGGAAGATGGATTATGTCTCTTTGGAGAGTAGCTGATCACATTGGAAACCTCAGTGAAAAGTTTTGAAAATTCACAGAAAAAGTGCGTGTAAATACAATACGGTTGAAAAAATGTATCTGTGTATCTGCTCAAAATCTGCTTTCACATTGTGAAACACAGACTGTGATTCATAACACAACCTGTTATAGAGTAATGCCTAATCATGGCACCAGGTAAAAAAAGTATATGTTCAGAGGCCAGATCTGTCTAGAGGGCCAAATTCAGGTGTGGCTTAACTGCATTCCTTCTACATTAAGAAGTTTAAAGCTAAAAGAAGTTTTAAGAAAAATCTGACTACTTCCCCTTGTCTTGTTGCTTGTAGACATTGATGAATGCCGGGATGGAACCCACCAGTGCCGCTACAACCAGATTTGTGAGAACACACGAGGAAGTTACCGTTGTGTGTGTCCAAGAGGATATCGGTCCCAGGGAGTTGGAAGACCTTGTGTGGGTAAGCTGTTCAGTCACATTAGTATTGCATATTTTGTGCTGCTGCTTTTGGCTGGGCTTTCTGCTGTAACATATCCAACAGTGCTATCCCATTTGAAGACTATGCTATGTAGACAAATCTGCTCTGAAGTTCAAAATTACCCATCAAAAATAAAGCATCCCATTCAAAACAGTCAAAATTAAATTATTCCAAACGGAGAGTGTTATAGTTCCATACTTTGAAAACATAGTGTACAAGGGTCTCAGAGCTTTGGTGGATGGATGTGGCAAGCTACTACCACACAAGATACTTCGTTTATAAAAATCAAGTCAGATTTGTTAGTTGATTGGACTGTGAAATATGCCTGGACTGCACTGATTCACACATGAAGGCAGTCAAGCAGGGAGTGATACGGACGCCCCTAAAGGAGAACACCCAAAGGAAGTGTGTTGCAAGAGAACTCGCCTCTGCAGGTGAATGGCACAAACACACTTACTCACCTGCTAGAATTGTAAAGGGTGTTCCCTGTATGGGGGAACCAGAAAGGGGAGCGAAGCTGATAAGCATTTATCACTCAACGCTCCCCTTTCTGGTTTGGGTGGATCACAGCAGGGAAGGAGGATTCCTGTCAGTCACAGGAATGCTGACCATGTAGTTACTCCCCTATCTTATCCATGTAGAACCTTTTGGCATAAAACTGTGCAGAGCTTTCTCCCATGCACACACGCATGGGACTTGAAGGATGCTCTCATAGCTCTAACGCAGACAGCAAGAGAGCTTATGTATGGTGTCAGTGCAAGTGCATAAATCACTTCCTCTGGCATTTATTAGACCTCAGAATAGCACTAGAATCATTTAGACTCACCCTTTCTGTATTTATGTAAAATATTTAACATATATAGCTGATCCACCCTGATCATAATGACTTACGAATGTTGGTATATGACATGTAAGTGAAGTTTTCAGTTGCTCTCAGGTATCATATCAGAGAATGAATGTTGGTATATGACATGTAAGTGAAGTTGTTTTCAGTTGCTCTCAGGTATCATATCAGAGAAGCATTCCTCTGTGATGACTTCTTAGCTTTCCTAAGTGATAAATAGCTGCTTTGGAGAAGAGGATTTTTTTTTCTTACTATTTTTTTCTTTTTAAACAACCTAAGTTTTTGGACTATCAAAAGCCAGGATTTTTTTTTTTTTTTTTTGAGAGAGATATTAAATTGCAGTAAGAAACTGTTTGGCTGTAGACCAAGACATTACTTCCACCAACTGCCTCTCTACTGAAATAAAATCAGTCCCAGACTCCTTAACATATATTAAAGCCATTTAAATTTCTGACAGCAATAAGCTAGATAAAGTCTAGGACTCCAGATTTTCACAAAGCACTAGCAGCTGCCCTAAAGCTGTCTTCTGACTAGGGAGCACTGAAAGCTCCCTCGTAAATTAAAGTATGACCTTTATGCACCTTTGAATTTTTATCTGTTTAAAATATATATTTAAAATATAGATGTGTCAAAGATTATTAATAAACATGTGTTAATAAAATCCAGTTTTTATTGTTGATGTTTCCAGTGAGCACAGGGAAGAATTTAAAAGTAAGTAAGGCCCAGGCTGAAACAGAAGAATTGAACTTTATTCCTACCTGTGTCGCTCTTGCCTGGTGTAAAGTCTTTTGTGCCACAATTCCATGTCTGACAGATAGGGATAAGATGCTCATTTGTCATCACAACACCCATAGATACATGCATTTTTGCACATAACATGTGAAAGGCTACCTAGAATTTAAAATCAAATATTATTCTTCAAGTTAAAGAATGCATGAGAGTTTAGCTATTTTAGTTTCAGAGTAATTTCACCTTGTTCTGGTAAATATTTAATATTCGTAGGGCATAATCAAAGGGATACTGTCCACTGGAGACTTAAGCTTACCAGTCAGTCAGTGATCGCCTCTCACGGGGATGGCTGTGGTGTAAATGCAAGTGACTTGCTGCCTTCAATTTTGCTTGTATCACACAGGATGATTCTATGAAAGATATTTCTCATATTTTCACCCGTTTTCTTTCATTATTTCTATGATAGTCTTATATTGCTTATCCACAACTTGTTCCAAGGACATTGGTGGTTGTAAAGATGTCAGTTCACATACCTGTTGTCTATTTCGTGCAGATAAAAAATGTTACACTCAACAATTAGGAAATAGTTGAGCACTAAGGAAATAGTGGGTTTTAGTATTCTTTTACGCGTGTATGAGTAATACATTTTTTATCTTGAGCACACAATGGAGGAATATAAACTTAAAATTTGTGTTAGTTGTTAATGTTAAAAACTAAGTTCTTATTTATAACACCTGACAATATTACCCTAATGATATTTCAACTAATATATGAAGTTTTAACTCTGTGTTATATCCTTAAACTGTTTATCATACTTCACATGCTCGCTACTGTTTTGATTTAAGGATGGATATTTACCTAGGGTTGGACAAATTATTTTGGATTACAATTTAAAGGGAAACAGCTTAAAAAAAAGTATTCCTTAGGAAAAAAAAAATTCTATTTTTGAATTGTACAAAAGTGATTAATATTTATTGTTGTCTCCAACCTTTCATAGCTGGAATGACCAATGACACGTCCCTGAGACCTCGTTTTTCCCCTGACGCAGAGTACAATAACCATATCAGAGCTTTTGAATTTCCCCCAGTCCCAGTTTGAATGAATTTCTATCGCTGTACTTCTCAAGAATGCTCCGTGTTAAGTAGCCTGCTTTAGAGAAAAGCCTGACACCTTTGGTCACCCATCTGTGGAGCACTTAAGGAAAAAAGAATTACTGTTTAATAATATAATACAATAATTAAATAATATATATTATATAATATATATTAATATAATAATTAAAGTAGCAGTGAGCAGCTTAGCCTGAAATGCTGAACAGCACGGGTCTTAAGGGCTGCTTATTTCTCAGAGTGCATCTTTTCTGGTAACCAGCAGGAACCACAGCTGCAGCTTTCAGGCTGTCACACAGCCCTGCTTTTGCAAAAGCAGGGGAACAGACTTGCATCCCTATGCAGACATAGCCACACCTTACTTTCAGTAACTCTCGAGGCCAGACTTCCAGCAGCATTCTTGTCCTACGTGAGCACAGTCTTATGTCACAAGCAGCCTTACAGGAAGAATAAAGGTATATTGCTGTACAGGATAGAATAACTACTACTTGGCATTGTGTTCTCCATATTTTACTGCCTTCAAGATCTCACTTTCATGTCTTCAGTTTGTTCCACAGACTGAGATAAGTATATATGTATATATATACCTATAGTTATGTGTTGTTGTTTGTTTGTTTTTTCTCCTTTCCACATGGTTTGTTGCTCTGGATCATGTCACATGAGCAGACATTAATGAATGTGAACAAGTGCCTAAACCCTGTGCATTTCAATGCACCAACACCCCCGGCAGCTTCAAGTGTATCTGTCCACCTGGGCAACATTTATTAGGTGATGGGAAATCTTGCGCTGGACTGGAGAGATTGCCAAATTATGGTGCCTATTACAATAGCTATAGCTATGCTCAATTCTCCCCTGTGAGAGACAACTATCAACCTCAACAATATTACAGGCACTCCTCAAATCTCTACAGCTCCTTCTCAGAGTATAGAAACAGCAGAATACCTTTCTCCAGGACTAGAAGGAACATTAGAGAAACTTGTCCTGAAGGCTATGAGGCAAGAAATTACAGATGTGTAGGTAAATGTCAGTCATATCTATGCAATTCTCTTGTTGTGGTCCTTATTCTTAGGTTACTGTTTCATATATACCAGGGGCTGATGGTTTCTGGTGGTGTGGTTTTTTTCATGTTACCCTGATGATTCAGAGTGTTCTGCATGTTCTTGTCTCCTGAGCACGTTGTAGCAAAATGTTTTCAAACCTTCTCCTGGTAACCTCTTGCTTTAATTGTGTTGCTTATTCTGTGTTTGCAGATTATGTCCCTCTGTTACTCCCTTCCTTCTGATTATGGTAGCTCACCTTTGTGAATTTTCTCACACTTGAATAAACACCCGTAGACCCAGTCTAGTCCTGGGGATGTTGCTTATGCCAGACTCCCACTGATGGTAGGAATAATCTGGCTGAAAAAGGTTTGGAATAAAGATTTTAGAATTGACCAGGCTAGCGCCAATCCCAGCACTGCTACAGGATGGTTAGTCTCTGGTACATGGGTAATATAAGCAGCAGCTTTTAAATTATTTATAGTTATGATATATAGCGGGTTGCAATGTAATTCACTGAGCATGGAGAGACTGATCGTAAGTAAATAAATAGGCGGGTTTCATAAGTTGGGACAATGACAGCACTGCCGCTTCTTTTGCTGTGATGAGAGCAGGGTAGTTACAGGAACTGGCAAGCTCTGCCCCAGTTTTGTTTTTTCTTAAGAGGTGCAAAGCCTTAGAGCACACTCTAAGACAACAAAGGTATTTGGCACCTCTAACTATCAGGCATTTAGCTCACTCCCTCCTTACTCCGTGAGCTTTTCTGAGGTTTTTCAGTGAAATGCTGCTATTTTCACAAGTACTGAAAAGTTAATTCAGCTCCTTGTGAAAGCCAAAAGGAACAGCAGCCTGTACTGTTCATTGACTGATTTGCACCAAATGTAAAAAAACTAAGAAGTTTAAAAAAAAAACCCCAAAACATACTATTGCTCAAAAGTCAGAAATGTCAGGTCTTTCTCATGCAGCAGTAGTTGGTGTCTGTGGATCTAGACCCTCTGTAGCTGCTGGTCTAGAGCCAGACAGTGAGCGCTCACAGCCAGCCTCCCTAGAGCACATTCCCCTCCCTGCCCTGGAAAGCTGAACAGACCTGGGCAGGAGAGCGGCCACCGCTGCGCCGTGAGCCAGGGCTCGCCTTGTCTTCCAGGAGGGATCACCAGACCTGGTGCTTTACACAAAGGACAAATGGGGATATAAAAAATGAGTTCATCTCTTGAAATATGCTTCTCTTCAGTCAGATTTTGCCAACCTTATTCACATTTTTTAGTATCTTAAGAAAAAAAAAATTATGCAGTTAAATTATTTTGTGATAATACTGCTGAGTTCAGGACTAAGGGTACTGCACTCTAGGCCTTACTAGAGCTTGTCCCAGTGCATTTAACACAGCTGTTTGTGGTGCGTTAGCTGTGTGCCTCAACCTTAGCATATATACCAGTGGCACTTCAGAAGAGGTACAATATCCTTCCAGGATAGAGAGTGATCTACAGCTAGATTCTAGCAACCAGAATTGTTGCTAGAATTATATAGCAATATATAATGTTGACAAATATGAATATACTTTTATTAATAAAAATCATATAGGCAGGCATCAAACCTTATATTTACATTATAAAGGTTTTTCATAGTTGTACACATGCAGTTTTTTATGCACGTAGCAGTTAAACTGAAAGATGACTATAGCTACCGCTGATGAAAGGGTTAAGCTAAAATTATGATCTTCACCCCAGCTTCCAGTTTGAATTAGTAAATATTCTTGTACTTCTGCTTCACTGGAATAAACATCTAAATTTTAAAATTACTGTTTAATATGAAAAATACGCCCAAATTATTATTTTTTTTTAAAGACAGTTCTTTCAATAGACAACCATCAGGATTTGGTAGCAACATACTGTAAATTTCTACGGTCACATCTGTTTCTTTTCTGTGTTTGCATTTTTATCTACTGCAACCCCTGTAAATCAAAAAGAGGGGAAGCAAAGACTTCCCTTCCACTGTTTTAATCATGCAAGTCTTGCACAAGACTAACTTGAGTAGGATCTCTCTTGCTCTACTGACTTAGGCAGACGTTTCAAAAGAAGTTATATATGATCTGTATCTAAATCACACTAGTCTGCTTTGAAAATGTTACATAAAGTGCTTTGGTACTTCTATATTTGAGAGGAAGATTAAAAAAAAAGAGTATTTATTGATAGTCTTCCCAGATACTGAGCTTAATTCATCCCATGGCACAAGAAAGATCAGTTTGGAAGGGAGACAGCTTTGCTTGAGGAGGGATTAACTTAAGAACAACTCCCCCACTGTCAAGGCTTCCTCTGACGAGATAAGTAATCTGGGCATTTCCTAACCATGTTGCCCAAAACCTTATTATCAGGCAGCTCAGCTTGCTTTTTGGGGCAAGACTGTATTTGTATAATCTTGTTGATGTATACAGATTGCACAATCCTCTTTCTTCCCAGAACTCTTTATCAGGACTGGTCTCTCTGGCTAGAATACAAATAATGGCTGCCATCAAAAGAGGTGAGGACTTTAATAAGTTTTAAGGAATGGCACAGGTAAGGTGTGAAAGGACTTGCTAGTCTTAGACATTCAACCCCACCAGAAAACAAGATCCACACAACTTCCACCAACTCTGTCCATATGCTAGTATATAAATAGGACAAAAAAATACCTCTGTTCAATACCAGGTTCAAATAATTCTGATGTGTACGTGTTCATGTTTCTTTCCACAGACATAGATGAATGTGAAACTAGAGATACCTGTCAGCATGAATGCAGAAACACCCTGGGAAGTTACCAGTGTACTTGTCCATCTGGTTATCGGCTTACACCCAATGGCAAAACCTGTCAAGGTACGGGGATTCCTATGAGTGTTCAGAAATATATTTGTAAATAAATAAGATACAAATCATGTTCAACATATGTATAAGCCATGTCTTTGAATTTGCTATATGAGATTCAGCATTCAAAATTTCAAGTTTCAAAAGTTTTTGTTTCACATTTTAATGCTTCTTAAAACACCAGTAAATTAGAAAATTGCAACTTCTTACACTCTGAAGCATAAGCTTCCTCGTGTGACCTTACATTACACATTTAACTCCAGAGAAGTAGACAGTAGCTCTGGGGTTAAACCCAATATAATCCTTAACCCACCTCTGTCAAAAAAAGGTACTGTCAGATTTTTTTTCTGATCCACAAAAAAAAAAAAACACAACAAAAAAAACCCCAAAAAAATCCATAAAAAAATGAACTATTTAGTCCCTGTTGACAAGACAACTATGGTTTATGCTGGATCGTGGCTGTAGGGCAGCTCTAGCACAATACGCCATTCTGCGCAGTAATAAAATGCCAACAATAATAAATGCATGTTACTGGAACTCCTGGCTCGAGTGCCTCAAACAGCAAGACCAGATTCTGAAAGATTTCACTGTGTGCACAGGTACACTCTGCAGTCTGCTAGCCTTTACTGGCCCAGCTAGTTTTTAGCCCTAAATTTCTTCTACCAGCGATTGATCATTTGCATGTTTTTTGCATTCAGATATTGATGAGTGCCTTGAACAGAACATTAACTGTGGTTCAAATCAGATGTGTTTCAACATGAGAGGAAGCTACCAGTGCATAGACACACCTTGTCCACCAAACTACCAGCGAGAGCCTCTTTCTGGGTATGTTTTATTTTCAGCCCCTTTTCACCAACCCCAAGCTCGGATCCTTAACCCATATTTCTCAGAAGAAACTTTATCTAAGTTTGACTGACGCCAGTAAAGCTCATCTTAGTAAACATTAAAGCTTTGACATTGCAGATGATCATCATTTCTCGAGCAGCAGTATTTCGTGTTTCCCCTGCAGCGGAACCATAAAGCCACGGCCTCAGGCAAGCCGGCTGGCTCTCAGTATCCATGCAGTATTTTACTGTTAGTTCAAAAGGAAATAGCGCCAGAATGCTCCTTTACTATAGGAGCCCCACCGGGCAGCGCACTGCGATTCTGCTGATTCAGTGTCATTCATTTGTCACCTATCAGGCTGCCTTTGCGTCTAAGTTTTCTGATTTTTCTAAAGGCCTAATGTGCCATCTATTTCAAAGCATTTAAAATATTCTTTTAGTTATGAAAATAATGCTACAGTTCATGGTAAATTTTGTTATTTTTAAGTTACTCTATTTCCCTGTTCTGGAAAAAAACATACCAATTTCTTTTAATCTTTTAATATACTCAAGGAAATAGCTTGTTTCATAGTCAGAAACTATCTTTTGTGATCAAAATGAACTGGAATGACACTTAAGTTGAAATGGGTAATGTTCTTTGACCCCTGTTAGTACTGACAAGCAGAGCTCATAGGTATCTCCTATTTTGACTTTGGATTAATAAAAGTAAAACTTACTTTGCCCTTCTTCATTCCAAATTCTTTATTTTATGATCTAACACACAGACACTTCAAATGGAGCTGCCCGGTACACTTTAAGCCAACCTTTCTAACTCTAATGTTTAAGAGCAATGTCACTAATACATACTGCATTGACTTTAATGACAGATGTATTCAATATCTTTGTTACCTGTTGGCTCTTTCTGAGATGATCCTATTGAGGGAAAATGGGACATTAAAGCAGGCTGCAACTGTAAAGGAACAATGGATTGAGAGTGAGCATATTATCTTTATACAGAAATTTAAATTACACAACAGGGTAAACGAGGGAAGAATTTATCCTTTAAGACCTACTGCAGTACTTACAGTATCATGCCTCTTCTCCATGGGCTAAGGTGCTCTGCTTATTCCTAGGTTCTGTCTGAAAAACTGCCCAGCCAATGACTTGGAGTGTGATCTGAGTACCTATGCCTTGGAATACAAACTCCTTTCCCTCCCCTTTGGTATAGCTGCTGGTCAGGATTTAATCCGGCTGGTTGCCTACACTCATGATCAAGTCATGCACCCAAGGACAACTTTCTTAATGGCAGATGAGGACCCAGCAATCCCATTTGCCCTGAGAGATGAGAACTTGAAAGGAGTAGTGTTCACCACCCGACCGCTGAGAGAACCTAAGACTTACCGCATGGGAGTCAGAGCCTTATCCTACAGCATCGACGGAAATATTGAGTATCGGACAACTTTCATTGTTTATATAGCTGTGTCAGCCTATCCCTATTAAACACCCAAACTACTTGACAGTAATCACAGTATTTTAACCACATTCATAAATGCCAGTGGGTATTACCACTTCCAGACTGACTCTACAGCCTGCCAAACAGTTGTGAACCACATAACTTGAAAATGGTGCTATGCTCTTTTCCTTTTCTCTCCTTCCCTGAGGCTGCCTGCCCAGTCCCATTATTCCAATTCAAGAGGAAAATCCATGGCTTTGAGGACCTGTTACCACTTGCTTTATTTATTACACTGGAGTAGTTGTTTTCCACAGTCTGTTCTGAAAACATGCAGAAAAATCAAAGTATGAGCTGAAGTATGTGGTCAAAGCAGTAAGCAAGGAGCAGCCTCTGTTGAAAGCAACTATAGAAAAGCCTAACCAGAAGAAAAAAAAAACCATAATTTCAAGTGGTTTACATATTTTAAAGGTTGCTTAGTGTTTTACAATTTTATATCTATTAGATTTTTTTTCTTATCAAATATCTGATAGAATTAGGGCTGTAATTATAATACATTGTGTGCTCAAAAAGACAAATACCACTGTACCTAATGGTTGTAAATGCTGAAACAAATTATATTAAAGTTTCTTTTCAGCTAAAGAATCTACAGTAGAATTTGGAACTGGTACATTTGATTTCCATGCAAGTTTAGAGATGTCGCTATTTTTTGAAAAAAACCCAACATGGCTACTTCTACTTTATACAGCAGGTATTTTATAACTTTTTTACTCTGAAATTCTGGTATAGCCATTTATTTAGCTCAAAACTTTATCCATTTCAGTACTCCCAACTCAGTCAGTTAAAATGTTTTGGGTTTTTTTTGCAAATGGAACGTTTTTCTCCAAAGATGATGTAAGTTTGGTTCAGTAATGTCAATACACTGTACACAAGTAATTTTGCCAAGATGTATTCTATTTTTATGAAAGTGTATATATGTTTTTTCCTATGTGTATTTTCTATGCAGTATCTCAGAGTGTTTTACAGTTAAGTTTGCATAAAAGGACAATGTCAATACATTGAAAATAATCAAAATAAAGGTTCCCATTGCCTTTGAGATTGCTGTGAGTTTTATCACCTACCATAAGACCTCTTATTTTATCCAGAGCCTGTTGAGTAGGAGACATCATCTCATTTCCTCAGACGAAATGAATTTTGCTAAGAGTTAAATTTTTGTTGCATATAAAGGCAGTATTTATTCATATACTCAACTCATTGCCAAACATTAAATAAGTAACTATAATTCCAGTGCATATTAAAGAAAGAAAAAAAAAATTACTGAAGGGCATTAAGATTGGAACCCACTGGAAATCACCAGTGTTCACTGGGAAAGTTTTGCCATTTTCAAAGTGAAAGAGAGATGTCAACAGAGTCCCTCCAGCTGAGAACTCCACAGGGGCTGAACTGTAGACTCTCGGGTTTCTGTGTTGCATAATTGGGATGCGAGGAATGGACCAAGAATAACTCATTTAACTCATTTCAATTAAAGTACATTTTTAGTGACAGGGACAAATTGCTCCATAGTGGAATTTAGACTCTCTGCTTCCATCCCTAGTGAAAGCTCTACCAGTTTTCCCCTAACCTTGCTTTTTGTTCAGTTTCCATTGCAATAATGAGACTTTTTTTTCTCTTTATACAAAGTCATACAAATTAGAGATTTCAAACAAAACAGGTTAGTTTCTTGGAAACCTGACTTGAAAAATAAAAGCATTTTAGGAAGAAAAAGATAACTTCCATGATGAAGACAGGAGGGAAGGAGAAACGAGGTTATAATAAGTACAGATAGTTACCTCAATTCCTCTTAAGGATGAGAATCACACTGAAAATTACGTCCTTGAGGGAATTTAACTAACAACTCCACTGTGAGACAGGAAGAAAAAGAAAATGTCTATTATGATATGTTTCATGAGAGGGAAAAAAGCCCACCCAATAACAGAGTTAAGAGGCTTTAAGGCAAATCTCTGACTTCTTTTAGGGCTAGGAAATTATCAGACGAAGGTAATTTAAATGCTCCCAGACACATCCACAGCTTTGTTTCTACTATTTGTTTCCTCATCCTGTGCTTTTCAGGCACCCAGCTGTAGCTCAAGAGGGAGCTTGCCCCTGTGGAAGCCATTAGTTATGCTAAGCCACAGGATTGAGGGACCAGCAAGCTTTGGGTTATTGTGAACTTTACAGTTTTCACTCATTGACTGGTGAAGGGAAGTTATGAATAAAGGAGAACTTGTGCCAAGCCCTTCTCTTTCTTGGACATCTTGTTTCATGTTACAAACTTCCAATCTCTTGTGCTTTAAGAAAAGAATTGCAAATGTATTATATTAAATCTCAAATTCACCTGCTGCAGATCTACCTCCATAAGCTATCTGACCCAATTTCAAACAGGCTGAAAAGTCTATTGATTACTGTTAGTTTTTCAATTCTAACTTGAGACCCGAGACAGATTAGTATGTGTGTAATGCTCACATAAAATCGTGGATTTGTTAAAGATGTAAAATCCTTATTTCATAAATCCAAATTTTAAATTTTATAAATACAACAAATATTCAACTGTATTTAATACTACTTTAGGAAAGACTAGCAAAACCCTGGATGCAATTTTCAGTGTCTGAGGGTTGTACAGTTGAGCCTGCAGTCACTTTGTCCAAACCCCTCCATTACTCTGCAGAAATATTTGCAAGACCGAAGGTTCATTGCAGTTCTATGAAAGGATAATATGGTCTCCCTGCCCTTTGTCACAAGACATTTTGCAAATGTCCTCCTGTCACAAACAAGCCTATACGAAATTGTCATCTAAAAGACTGTCTATACAAAAGGAAATGCAGATGAAAATTGGGGTAGAAAACATGCAAATAGTTAATTCTGAGTAACTCCACTATACCTGGTACAGTCCAGACTATGACTGAATAGTTCCCCGTATCAGTAGTACCACCCATCCATCAGAGAGGTTGAGAATACATGTGCTTTTGTGAGGATTTTGTCAGTAGGAGGGTGAGCTTGTTCAGGGGGATTTTAAAAGCTCAGTGATGTCCTATTGCCAACCCAGATACATCATCAGGATTCTTTAACCCACTGTCACTGGTTGTAACTTGGGATAACCAGGGCTAGTCCAGGGAGCAATCCTGGCTTTTCTAGAAGAACCCCTTTTATGTTTGCATCAGTACTGAAAGGGAACTGTTGGCTCTCTGCTGGCCTTATCTCAATCACTGTGCTATATTTTCGTTAAAGAATGCATCAAAGAATGTTGGGAATTAATTACTTCCTAATTAAAAGGCTGCTCATCAATCAGCTTGAGAAATAGACACATCCCTGTAACTGTCTCTTTATGGTCAGCATTACGTAGTCACAGACACATAACAGGGGCAAAGAACTGACAGTGAAACCACTATGGAAGTAGAGCCAAGGATTTGTAGGGAGTGATGAAAGGCACCATGCAAAGAATCAGGAACCCTGTTAAATAGTTAAACTATAGACATGATCTTTTTTCCAGAAAGTAAAAGTCCTTCCATAAATATGTCTACTTAACTGCAGAGCAAACACTCTTCCTAGTATGCTAAGAGTAGTATATAAGAATCTTAAGTTCTTACTAAAAATATCCCACACCACCAGGACCACAGCAAATAACAGGGTTTTTTTTAAAAAAAAAAAAAAAAGAAAGAAAAGAAAAAAAGAGGTCCCAGGGAGAGCAATTCTTTTAGGGCAGTTCAGAGGTGTGCTGAATAAACAGTTAATGCTTCAGTGCTGCCTGGTGCCTGTGCTACCACCCTTTTGTACAAGCCTAGTATTTCCACTGCTTATTCACAGCATTTCCTTCTGACCCTATTCCTGAAACACCACCCCATCACACTGTCTGCCTTTGAGTTCCTGGGCCTTACCTAGGCACAAACATGACAATGTTTAATTAACTACGCTATCGAGGTTAAACATACCCTATGAAAGATGGCAAATGTGTTCTACACATTACAGAGATTGTTATACATACTGTTCGTTTAAAAGTGTGACATCTTGTGGCATTCCAGCAGCATGCAGTTGGGCACACAAGTCTCCCTGAAGCGCACCTCCAGGTGAACACACATTAGATACCAGCTACCTGCTTGCCACAGCACTGCCCAAGAGAACCCAGCCCACACATGTATTCCAGGAAAACATCCTGCCATGTCTGAGCCTTTGCCAGGGCACAACCAGATCCACTTTTCCTCCTGCAAACAAGCCTTCCGTATTAAAGCCTAAAGGAAACTACATGCTACAATGCAGCGCTTTTTGCAGAAAAAAGAAAAATGCACAATTCCTTCCAAATGTAAGTTCTAGCAGAGGAATAAGGCACGAAAAGGAGTTCAGGGGTGAAGCCAGGGCCAATTGCTAGAGGACAGAAAAATCTGCAACCACCACCACTGGTTACATGGCAGGTGTTCAGGAACTGAAGATGGGTAAGTATCCCTCATCACACCTTCTGTAGGGCTCCAGGTTGCCAATCCCTTGGGAGAGGAAATCTTCTGGGGTGTTGTTTGTCTGTCTTTGTGCACTGGCTGAATTTAAAAGCTATCCAGAGGGTACAGCAACGAATCAATGCAGCATACATAGCACCGTGGGTTAAAGGGAAAAACAAGTTATCAGCTGATGCCCAGAAAAGACAGGAGTAGCACTGTTTGACAGATAAGCATCCACTTGCCAAGTAAGAGCCAGACAGTTGATGCTAAATGAAGCAGAGGGAAAATGAGTAAAACAGTCGTCATCGCTCTCTCAGCAGCATGACAATTACAGGCAGGACTCTGCTCTTGGGGTTCAAATGGGACCTGTGGTACCCTTTGACTTCAGAAGCATTTCTAGTTCTGGCAGCTCAAATTTAAGGGTGCTGCCAATAAAAACTTGGCACGTTGCAACCTTTGAAATCCACAGATTAGCTTATGATGCTGGAATCCAACCGCCTGCCCCCCACAGTTGCACACAAGCAGAGAACAGGACATGCAGCACTGCGGGGGGAGGTACACAGCGCCAATACCACTCTGGATTCAAA